TGACAGGGGGGAGCTCCCCAACCCCCTGATTGGCCCTGCTCTGTGCGTGACGGGGTGGCGCCGCAACCTCCCCATCGACCCTGCCTTGAGTGTGACAGGGGGCGATGCCCCAACCCCCCAATTGGCCCTACCCTGAGCGTGACTGGGGGTGGCATCGCAACCTCCCGATCCGCCCTGCTCTGTGCATGACGGGGCGGCGCCCCAACTCCCCAATCGGCCCTGCTCTGAGCCCGACCAGGAGCTGCACCTAGGGATTGGGCCTGCCCTCTGCCACCCGGGAGCAGGCCTAAGCCAGCAGGTTGTTATCTCCCAAGGGGTCCTAGACTGCGAGAGGGCACAGGCTGGGCTGAGGGACCCCCCCTTCCCCCCGAGTGCACAAATTTTTGTGCACCGGGCCCCTAGTATATATATAAAATAGCAGTACTTGAAAAATCAGAACCATTTCAGAATAATACTATGTACTGACAATAAATGCTCCTCAGTCATTTCATAAATTCCAAATACCTACATGTTCAAAAGTCCAGCAGATACTTTCCAATAATGGACGTCATGCAGTACTTGAAAAATCAGAACCATTTCAGAATAATACTATGTACTGACAATAAATGCTCCTCAGTCATTTCATAAATTCCAAATACCTACATGTTCAAAAGTCCAGCAGATACTTTCCAATAATGGACGTCATGCATTCCAATTTTGTATTAGAATACTGCATCTATCAATTTATAGTTTATCAGTAAGTAGTCCTTTGTAATAATTAAAAACAAGAAATGGCAAACTTCATATTATTTGCCCCTAAGAACCGAAAAAATATCTTGCATTTTCTAATCCATTCTTAGCCCATAGGCAGTTCACCTAGTACAGTGTTTGGCAAACTGCGGCTCGCGAGCCACACACGGCTCTTTGGCTCCTTGAGTGTGGCTCTTCCACAAAATACCACGTGCAGGCGCGCACGTACAGTGCAATTGAAACTTCATGGCCCATGTGCAGAAGTCGATTTTCGGCCTGGGCGAGTCTATTTTGAAGAAGTACTGTTGATATTTGGCTCTGTTGACTAATGAGTTTGCAGACCACTGCCCTAGTACAATCCACTTGGAAATCAGTGCTCCAGAATCCTAAGTGTGTTGCTTAGGCACTAAAGCACTCCATTATCAGCATGAACAAAAGCAGAGTAAATTTCTCCTCAGGCTCCAAAGACTAAGGTCAAGTTCCACTTCTTAGATTTGTAAAGTACTTAATAGCATCACATGCCTCCTTCTTACTGACCCTTACTTGGCTTATGTATTTTACAGCACTGATCACCTCTCTGGTGCACAGACTGGATCAGAACAAGGTCAGGTGGCCAAGACAACCAGGAACAGCACTCAAATCATGGGACACCAAGGTCAGTGCTCTTACCACTGTGAGTTACCAATGACAGGGTGGGGATAGTGGGGCTTTCTGAATCAGCTGAGGAGCTCATATGCACACTGCACTGTTTAACTACAAAATCCAGTGCAAATTTCTGTCTCCCTTTCTATCTCTCATTCTCTCTCTTCAGTTATCACACTTATTCAGATAATCAGATAAATGTCTATATTCCACTTGGATTTCTAATATGTAACTATAATAACCCCAATATATTTATTCTAACTAATAAAACAATTCTACATGTTATTTACATTTTACTTGCTTTTTAAATTTAAGTGGTAGACAAAATTTTCATCAAACTAGGTAAATTTAGTTTTAGAAAAAAGAGAGACTCTATGTGTTTAAAAGAAAACAAATTTGACTTCATAGAGAAAAACCAAATAGCTTTTATAAATCTGTTATGAAAAAGCTTCCTAAAGAATTATAGAATTTAATCAAGATCTATTTATAAACTTTAATAGAAAAAGGTGAAAAGTTTAAAAACTACAGGATATATAACAGCATCATTTTATACTCTCACCAACAGTCTCTGGGGGAAAAGGAGACATATGTAATACTTTAAACAATAAAATAAATTATTATATAATTAAAGCTCAATTAGATTTCTAAAGTAGAGATCCATTTACAGTAAAGATGTTACTTTAGAGGGCTTTCTAGTCTACTTTTTATTAAAACTGTATATGTAGAGTACAAGCCACTTGGGATAGGAGTTATGTCTTACCTTTGTAGCATCAAGCAGCTATCTACATAATCCATCTATGTATTTAAGAAAATGACTGTAATTGGAATCCCATTACAACTAACTCTAAGGGACTATCCAATATCAGTTGTAGCAAATTTTGTTAGAATTAAAAGTACCATGGAAAAGAGCCTTTTTAGTGTGAAGGTACTTGTAGGGAGCTAGATATTAATGGAATATTAATGCAATCCTTGCACAATTCCCAGCTGAAAAGTATACCAAACAGGAACCTTCCACCTCAAATACATGGTGTTGGTCTCAAAGACAGAGGCCAAATGACATCTGCAAAAATTCTGTCACCACTAGTAGAAAACTCTGAGTATATTGGCTCCTTACCTCTAAGAAATTTTCCTTTTATTTCTTTGTGAATTTTTGAGGTAAAATGTGTACAGTGAAATAAAGAAATCTTAAGTGTACCATTTGATGAATTTTAACAAATGCACCTGAATAATCCAAATTCCCACCAAGATTTAGAACACTACCATGAGTTCAGAAAAATCTACCCATATCTTTTCTTAGTTATTCCTCAAACCCAATTTCCAGAGATAATCACATAAACAGAATTATATACTATATATTCTTTTGTATTTGATTTCTTTCATTCAGCATTATATTGTTGAGATTTATGTATCAGTAATTCAGGTTTTTTTTTCTTAGTATTATTCCATGGCATGATTATATCAGTGTTTATCCATTTACATTTTGATGAATACTTGGGCTATTTCTAGTTTGGGGTTATTGTGAATAAAAATGGTATGAATCTTCAAATCCAAGTCACGGCACCAAAAAGAAAAAAAATGGCATGAATCGTCTAAAAAACAAGTCATTTGTAGAAACATTTTAGATTCTCTTGGATAAATCTTTAGACGTAGAATTATTGATGGGCTATAGGGCAGGTGAATGGTTTTACAAGAAATAGCCTGTTTTCCAAAATTTGGGATTTTAGTCATTCTGGTGGGTGTAAGGTGGTATCTCAGGATTTTAATTTGTGTCTCCCTAATGTCTACTCAGGTTGAGCATTTTCATGCGCTTAAAAGAGATTTTAAAAATCAATTATTATATAATTAGAGGCCCAGAGCATGAAATTCGTGCATGGGTACAGTCCCTAGTCCTGGCCTGCGATCAGGGCCGAAACTGGCTCTCCAACATCCCCCGAGGGGTCCTGGATGGTGAGAGGCACAGGCTAGGCCAAGGGACCCCACTGGTGCATGAAGGAGGGATGTGGGAGGTTGGCCAGCCAGGGAGGAACCATGGGAGGGCTCCAGGGTGTGTCCAGCCCGTCTTGCTCAGTCCCGATCTGCCGGACCCCAGCAGCAAGCTAACCTAGCGGTCGGGGCTTCTGCCCCCTGGTGGTCAGTGCATGTCATTGCGACTGGTCTATCAGTCGCTTAGGAATTTATATATATAGAAGATTCCTTTGTGAAGTGTCTGCTCAAATGTTTTACCTTCTTTTTTATACTCTTGATACCAATTCTTTATCACATATATGTATTGTGGATATTTTCTTTCTCCTTTACTTTAATATTGTATTTCTGAGCTAAACCCAATGAGGTCATGATGCATTATCTTTTTTATAAATTGTAAATATGTTATGAAGGATTTTTTGCTTTTATGTCCATGAGTGGTATTGATCTATAATTTTGTTTTCTTTAGGGGGTAGTGGGTAGGTAATGTCTTTACTGGGTTTTGGCATCAGGGTTCTGCTGGCTTCATTTCAAAAAGAGGGAAGTTTCCTTTTCCCTCTATTTTCTCAAAGAGTTTGTGTAAGACTGGTATTATCTCTTCCTTCGATGTTTGATAGTCTGGATTTTTATTTGTGAGAAATTTTTTGATAATAGATTTAATTTCTCATAGACGTAAAGCTATTAATATTTCCTATTTCATCGTGTTTTCAGTTTTGTAGGTTATATTTTCCAAGGAATGTGTCAATTCCATCTAAGGTGTTGCATTTATTGGCATAAAAATGGTCATCACATTCCCTTATTTGTGTTCTCGTTTTTAATAAGTTGACTTTAGAGCTTATTGATTTTTATCTTTGAGAGATCAAACTTTTGGCTTTATCTGTTTTCTATCTCATTGACTATTCTTATTTTTCCTTCTTCTTTTAAGGTGGAATATTAGGTCACTGATTTTAGATCTTCTTGTTTTATACTAGCATTTAAAGCTATAAATGTCCTTCTAAGCACTGCTTTAAGTGTTGTGAGTACAGAATTTGACCTTGCCCAAAGAGAAGTCTAGCTTTAGCCCCAGCTCCTGGGATATAACCTCTAAAATCTTGAAGTTTCCCAATTGATAGAAGTGTCTTTGCTATTTATGGTGGGACCTTCAGACCATAACTGAGAGTTTATGCTAATGAGGTGGCTCAAGGTGGACATATTGTCCATTTCTTACCAATTTGGTCCTCTGTTGCCAGGTAACAACTTTCTTTAAAGGTTTTTTAATTTATATTTTTGAGAGAGGAAGGGAGAGGGAGAGGGGGAAACATCTATGTGAGAGTTGATTGGCTACCTCCTGTACATCCCCTACCAGGGATCGAATCCTACAACCTGGGCATGTGCCCTGACCAGGAATTAAACCAGCAATCTTTTTAAAAAAAATATTTTTATTGATTTCAGAGAGGAAGGGAGATGGAGAGAAATATAGAAACATCAATGATGAGAGAGAATCATTGATTGGCTGACGCTTGCACACCCCACACTGGGGATCAAACCCCCAACCCGGGCATGCACCCTGGCCGGGAATTGAACTGTGACCTTCTGGTTCATAGATTGATGTTCAACCACTGAGCAACACCGCCTTGGCTGAACCAGCAACCTTTTGGGGCACAGGACAATGCCCAACCAACTGAGCCACAACAACCAGGGCTCAGGTAACAACTTTTTAATGTACTCCCTTAAATAAGGGATTCCTCCATGACAACCCTTGAATCAATTAAAGTTTATCTGTTGTATTACCATTAAGTAATGCTTCCTTCATAGACATTAGCACAAACTCAAGTGTTATTTAACCATTTGGATAAATAACATATTATTATACCAAATGGTTAAAATGATCAATGATATATAACCCAGTGACTTTCAACTTGAAGCTGTATATAATGTTGCCACAGTGCCATATCTGGTACTGGGCAGTCATCCACTAAGATTCCTCTTTGTGCCATTTTTAGAAATTAGTATGCTATTTAAAATGCAGATGAGATGAAACAGCAATGGCAGTATCTAATCTAATAAAAGAGAAACATGCAAATTGACCACCCCTCTGCTATGCCCCAAGCCATGCCCACCAGCCAATCAGAGTGACTATATGCAAATTAACCCAACCAAGATGGTAGCTGGCAGCCACGGAGCTGGAGCAAGCAGGAGGCTTGGTTGCCCCGGTGATGGAGGAAACCAAGGTTCCCACCTGCCCTGGCCTGCTGTGGCCTCCACTCAAGGCAACAAAGTTTCAATTATAGAAGATAAATAAATCCCAGATACCTGCTTCCAG